TACCAGGCAATAACAGTCATCAGTCTCCACCTTGTGGTGAAAGGATATTCTGCATCAGCAGTTAGAGGCTGCCTTGGGGACAGACCGCCCCGGTCTGTCAGAACAGTGTGCTGTAAAAGTAACAATAAATTATTAATAAACATAAATAATTGAATACACAAAGTAAGTGATGCCTAGCCAGCTTCCAAGCTGCCATTGCTGCCCCCCTAGTTTATATACTCATCATGAAATCATACAATATGGAATATTCCTTTAGCCAGCCTGGGTCAGCTGTTCCAGCTGTGCCTCCTCCTAGTTTCTTGTGCACCTCCTCGCTGGCAGAGCATGGGAAGCTGGAAAACCCTTGGCTTAGTATAAGCACCACTCGGCAACAACCACAGTGTGTTATCACACTGTTCTCATGCTGAACCCGAAACACAGCGCTATGCCAGCTACTGGGAGGGAAATTAACCTTATGCCAGCCAAAACCAGAACACATGCCAAAAGAAGTAATTATTTTGATAATCTCAAGTGATAAGATTACCTAATTATCTTATCTAGGTAAAAAAAGTAGCTCTTATTTCTATCAGTGTGCATAATACACTTCTGTATTTCATAGCTGATTAACAAGCCTATGAAAACACTAATCATCACTCGCTCAGAAACCCCCCCACACCTATTTTTAAAAACTGTAAAGGAGAAGTCAGATAGGAGTCTGACTTTTGACAAAGTTTTAAAAAGTCTCCTCTTAATAGTCTCCATACTACATAACTTCTGGTTATGTTCTGTAACTGTGGCTTTCACAGCTCAGATCTGACACGCTCCTGAAACTACTAGAGTGGCCCCCAGGATTTTTAGCTGGTTTTGCATCATAACTCCTCATTGCCTGGCTGCTTCTGGCGCAATTAAGTAGTCAGCAACACACGTGTGGGAAAAAGCGCTATGCACAGCATGTCACACGACTAAGAATTACCATCATCACCAAAACTCAAATTAATTTATAACCTGTAAATGCTGTAGTGCATACCACAGGCATGGGGGTGGGGGGAGAGAGAAGACTGACAAGCACAAATACTATTTTGCTGTACAAAAATAGGTCTGATTTATGTTCATGAGGTGAGCTGCAAACAGATATCATCCCACAAGAAAATGATTTCATAATAACATGTTAACAGATTGGTAACACTTAACTTTTTGCTCTCAACTTGACATTACTTCAGTTCTACCTACATCAGGATTGACTACTTTTATAAAGCATTCCCAGGAAGAGTTTTGTTTGGGAGGGGAAAAAATACTGAGGAAATGCATATAAACACTGAACAGGTAACTGCAAATTGCTGGTCCAGGAGTGATTCTCAGCTCTTGGGTAAGGGTGTGTGCTCCATTCTTAAAGCAGTTTGGTCTTCAATGCAATGAAGGATGCGAATTGAATGATGCTATAAACATAGTTTTCCTCAAATTTTTTCTTTTGTTGGTATTGCACATACCATCCTAAAAATACTTTATCTGTATTAAAGCCTGCAAGATCTAATCAAAATCAAAATGATCTGCCAATATACTTTAGGAAACCCATCAACTGTGCAGCACCAGACAAGACTGACAGCCAGTTACAGCAATGGCACCATCCATTTTGTCATCCCCTGCAGATGAAAAGAGAAGGCATCATGTCATCTGCATGATGCAATTATGTAAAAACAGGTATTTCTGTGCACTGAAGCTCTGACGAACTCAGCTCTTAAGTCAATTAATCAAAAATATCATTATGTAACTAGTAGGATATTAAGAGGTTTTTTCTAGTTAATGCACATGAAATTATTAAATATTAACTAAGAGATGGGGGGAAAAAAAAACCCTGAAAGTTCAAAGTTATGTCAGAGCGCCCCAACAAAAGCCTAAGTTATGCTGCAAACAGAACTCTACAGGAAAATACCCTGAATAGGAACAGTAGAGGTTATGCTGCAGCCTAAGGTGCAGGACTATTTTCTTTTAGTACTCCTGGGCCTGCCATTATTATTTGTATTGCTTCCATGTTAACAACTTTCTAGCAATTCCTTTTAGCACTCCAGAACACCCCTAGCTATTTCAAAGGCTGTTTTCCTGGCAACACATTTGGACTCTGGTGCACTGCAGTCAGACAGCTCCAGACCCTGCCTGCTGAGAGCAGCCCTGTGTAGCACGGGGTCTGCTGTAAACACCTCAAAAACAATTCATGTGCTGAAGAGAACATCTTCTAAGACTTGTGCAGAGCTCAACGAAGAGGTGATGAGCATTTCCATTTATTTTTCTTCAGCAGCGGCATTTAGACAGGCAGCAATGCAGTATGCGAAAGGCTAGCATTCTGTGAACAGAATTCAACTTTTGCGTAAAGCACTTCTGAAGCACTGAAGTAAGCAATGTTTAACAAGGTGCACAAGGTAACCCCTGCAAGCAGAACTAACAGAGGACAGGCTACAAACTACAGAGGACAGAAGTTTCCAGTGGTAGTACAACACAATGCCACAGCAGAAGCAGCAACTGTAACTGCTGGCCAGCAGCCAACAGGACAATGAGCCTTTAGCAACACCTCTCCTAGAGACATTTCCTCATCTTAGCAAAGGTCAGGGTCTAACAAATAGGTGGACATTCCCTCAGTCTCTTTTCTGGGTATTTCACATATTTTATGACTTAAAAGAACCAAAACACACTTCAAGAAAGCTGGGGCAAGTGGGGACTGGAGGAACAGGGACTAAAGTACACAAAGTACTGGATTTTAAAGGCACAACTGCCTTAAAAGGCATGTGATTCCTTCAGCCAGTGAAGTACAACCTGCTACGTAACCCAAACTATTCCATAAGCATCCTGGAAGTAGACAGTTGGAACAAAGTTAACTTAGGATTTCCAGCATTAATATACAGAGCTAGAAAATCCTGGCATTTAGCAGCTAACACACCAGAGCATTCAAAATCATTTTAAGTTCCTGCTGTGTAACTCAGCTCAGCTACCAAAGTCTGTATTGGTCATGTTTGACCTCCTGTCCATAGTCTAAACCAATCCTTTGGCTATCCAGCTTCAACTAGTTTAATTCAAGACCTAATGTAAAGAAAGTTAGCTGATTCTAAAGTTCATTTTTCCTATGAAAAGTTACCCGAGTTTTCAGGGGGAATCTGGTTTTGGTTTTAAATTGTGCCCAACTGGGAAGAGGCTACAAGGACCATCAAATAGACTGGGTAGTGTATCAGCAGGTATATCAGAAGCCTGGACAGCTGTTTGCCCCAATATTAATTTTCCTTTTTTCAACTCAGGAAGTTGAAAGAAGACAAAGTTGCCAGAGTATACTGCTTCTATTCTCCAGCCCTTTCACTGGCTACTAGTTAGCCACAAGTGTAAATTAAAGCCACTTCTATTTTAGTGTTGTTTCTTTCCCATCCTGCCACGTCCCCCCCCCATAGCTGTTTTGGGACTGTGAAACTGATACTGCCCAGTTTTCACAACAGCTTAAACGCATCAGAGCCAGCTGAGCACTGCTGTCCTTCCCTCCTGTGCAAGCAGAGATGCTGGAGAGCCAAGTTACCTCCTCCCCTCAGGACAGGCAGCAGGGCTGTACACATCAGTCTCAACCTCTACTGGTTTCAGCTGACACAAAACCACACCCTTGTGCCCCTGCTGCAACACAGCCATCACTCCAGCTTTCAGCTCAAGCTTCTTCCTAGAGTCCTTCTGCAAAGTCTGACCAGATCCCTGCCCACAGACACACTGACATACATTCTAATAAAGTCAGCTAGTCTCACTGTGCATGTTATAGTTATGACAGCTGCAACACAAATGCTTGCTCTGACCAAAAGATGTGGCATCTCTTCCATACCAAAGTCTGTGGTAAATATTTCCTCTGGTAACAGAATAGAAAAGCCATTAACATTTACAGTGCGATACAACCATTAGTCATACCTTAACATTTCAACCACAAAATAGTTTACCTTGCCCGTACAACCACAGCATTTTAAAATAAAGCAGCACATTAAAGTTGCCAAAACCCTCACTCTAAGAGTTTTGCATTTCTTTATAAACCTGTCCAATTTTACAGTAAACCATTTCCTTTGCATACATTTCCTTTTGCATAAAGTTCACATGCATAATTTTAGCTAGGTTATTTCCAAGCTTAACGGGATCATTTCAAAGTGCTATACTTAGGTGCTCCACACATCAGAAGACTAGTTAAGGTAAGGGCACAACAAGAGAAACACAACTTCAGAGACTTAAACGGTTCACTCAACCGTCTGCTGGCTCGTCACGTTTTTGTACAACTGTATGCAGCTTTGTGGCATTCCAGATTTAGGGTTCCAAACAGCAAGTATCTTCAAATGAAAGCTATACCACAGTTACATTATCCACAAAGTGGCTATACAGTATCAAGTATACAAATCTTAGTTTTTAATGCAATGCTATTTAAAAATAATTTAGACAGTGACAAAAATCTTGTTTGTGGCTATATAACTCCATAAAATGCCAAGCATTGTATCAAACACTCAAATGTTCAAAATCTGTTTTGCAGAAGCCAAACCAGTGACTTGCATGAGGAGTGGGCAGAAAGCAAAAAGAGTGCATTTACTCCCAAATGACTCATTTTCTCATCCCACTGCACCTGTGTCAAATTCTTACACCTTTATGGATGACAAATGTTCATGTCTTACATGCTACAACTGGAGACATTAGCTTAAAAAACATTAATTTGTTTATAAAGTACATCTGTTTTGCTTTTCCTGTAATTGCTTGAAGCTACAATATCCTGTAGTATGCCTAGCTGATTCTAGATATTATGCTTTTAAATTGAAAGACACAAGCACTACAAATTCAGCTTAAATAATGAAGTTAGGTAGCAAAGCCCAAATTTCATACAAATATCCTAATGAGTCATTAAAAGGAGAAAACCAGCTTGCCAGTAGATTTTCAATTAGCTCATTTGTGTCCTTCCTTTTTTTTTACCTGAAAAAAATGCAGATTCCAATATGCATACAGCAATACTTTTTTACATCCAGATATCATACCTGTGTGAAGTATTTTCCATCTTGTTTCAGGACTTTCATTGAGAGGTCAAGAATCAACCGCAGAAATTCCCATGTGGAATCTGCATACAGATTAGGATTTAAAAAACAGAACAGCACATTACTGGCTTGTTGACCACTACATATTTAAGACTCAAAGCATATCTACTGTTTAAAAAGTAGCTATCCTCTACCTTTAAAAAACAACAAACAAACCAACATGACCAAAAAAAGACAAAAACCCACAAAACTCATACACAATGGCAGGGATGGTAGAATCCCAGTTTTCTTCACAGTAATTTTCCAGATGTTTCCAAGAAATTAGAACAGGGAAAAATTTACTGGCATGTGAACTTGCCAAATACTTTGTCAAGAATTTAATGAGTTCATATTATTCTAGAATAAGAGCACAGTTTAAAAAAGTCCTAGGCATTTGCTGATTTTTTTCCTAACATTCAAGAAAAACTGAAAATCATTCTTTGCCTCTCAGATTTGCAATTAAAAAGGCAAGAATCAAAGTTATTTTGTTGAAAGCTGCCAACTATTATGCAGTGGAAGGGCAGAAATGTGGAAAATCCTCAGAAGTTTAAGAAAATAAATTAAAAGATTAACCTTCTTCTGGAGATGTGGAGATTGGAACAGCTGTCAGATCATTAATTACATAATCAAACATCCTTCCTTCTTTGGCATAACTCTTCAGTACAGGAATACAGTCGTCAATTAGAACCTGTAAGAATGAAACACTGTAGCTAGTCCTCAAAATACTCTAAAACTACCTGGTAATTAGAAAAAATGCAAATTCACAGGAATTAAGGGGAAAAGTCCAGAAGTTAAATATTTATTTAATTTGAGGCTCAATTTTCAGTTTTCTACATCATATAAGTATGAACAGTTACAGGAATTGTGACAAAAACAATGTAGCCACCACAGGACTGAACTTACTAGCTCTGTCACCGATTGCTGTGTGACTATTATTCTACCAACCAAATGGTAAAAACAGTTAGCAGTTCCCGAACATACAAGTAAAATAAGGTATTTGTATGAAGAACCACTGACTCATGCAAAGTAACATGTGACTTCCCTGTTAATTTTCTGCATGCTTTTTTTTAGCTCACACCAATAAACTCGTATCTGCAAGCCTTAAGGAGTAGTAATGAAAACACAAAGGCAAGATTTCCACTGAAGATATGAGATTATACCTGGACTAGTTTGTAAGCTCTGTCAGATGTAGCACATAAAGACCTTAACTGCAGGGAATGCATGATTTTTTTTTTAAATTATTTTTAATATACCAGCAGTTCTATGGTATGAGATTTTGCCTGCAAATTAAAAACAGTTTTAAAATGTGTATTACAAATTCAGATATTCTCAACCGTCCATGAGAACTAAATTAAATAGATGTTTCTGCTATCTTTGCATCAATTTAAAGAATGATGTTCAACACTACATCCTTACTGTCATTTCCCCTTTATCTGTAAGGTATGGCAATAAACATTCTCCTATTTCATATTCCTTAAAAGCTATTATTTTTAAGAGTTTGAAGATGGAGAGTTAAAATATATTTGATGCTAATGCCCACTTCCAACACAAATTCCACTAGCAGTTATTAAATTTAGAAGTTCATAAAAAAAGGAAAAATTCCTTCCCCAAAATTAAGAAAAAGAAAACTTCTCCCCAAAACTCTGCCATAGCAGTCTTCCAGGGTAGGTGTAACAGTATTTGAAATACTACTTCTAGAGAAAGAAAAAAAGAAGAATTACCTGATAGCACTCTCCTTTCAGATTGTCCAAGACATCTCCACAAGTTTTACGCATGTATTTTTTACACCCGTCAATCACCATTTGGTCAATGTTTGAGGCTGGTTAAGGTATTCTACGTTCCAGAAATACAGTTTAAACAGCTCCTATTGCTTCAGAAAGAAATTCTTAAAAAGGTGACATTCACAATGGAACAGTAAGATGTGCATCTCTGAATACACATTGCAATAGCCAACCTTGTACAACCACCTCAAGGTTTAGGAAGTGCTAATTTTTGGTTTTGACCAGTATTTCTGGTACCTTAACTTACCATTACTGTGAAAGCTTGACATGTGAACAATAGGATGGTATATTTAAACCTTGTTTAGCCTTAGAGGGTCTTAATTTAACTTACATTTTTTTAAAACAATTATTTTTAGTTCCTAGCCAGTGGATCCCAAAACCTAGGACGATCAGCATTTCATATGGTGAACAGTGGTTTACGTTACAAACTATTTGAACTACAGAATGTTGAAAACTGGATTTGTATCAGTATTTAAGACAGGACAAGAGTTGGTCATTCTGCCACCACCATAATTCACCAAGTCCTGACATTCCTGTTGTTTAAACTTTTTTGCTTCTAGGGATTTTTTTTCTTTTTTAAATAACTTTCTTTAGAAAAAAAGAACCCAAGAAGGCAGAACTCAGCCCAACACGCAGACTTGACAGACATCTCTTCTGTTATCAGAAATATTTCAGTCTGACAGAGGCAGGTTTTTTTTCCAGTTATATGTAAGTTGTTAATCAAGAGCTGTAGTACAGATTGAGAATCTGAAAGCACGTTCTACGTAATGATGCACAAATATGTGGTCACTGAGTCGCTGTAAGCTGACAAAGATACTTTATTTTAGATCCCATCTGCTCACGCGAATAGGAACCTGAGAGTTAACTGCACTCAATGCCAAGACATCAACATAAAACACAGGCTGAGAGCGTTGAAATGAATGATCAGTCATTTGTCAAAGGATATCTCTACCATAGTAACCATCTTTGGCTTCAGTTTGACTATCTCATACAGTATACCTCCATCACCACCTCCTAGGATTAACACTTCTTTCCCAGTGTAGTCTTCCTTTCCGCTGCCCATTATGGCTTGAGTATATGCCAGGTCACTCTCTGCCAGATCTGAATGGAAGGAAGAGATAGAGTTGGATAGAAATGTTACATCTTTAATTCTTCTCATTAATTGGTATTAATTTAGTGTTCATCCAAAGGTGATAGAACACAGACCAAAGAAAGGCATCTACAGAAACCACCTAGCTCTCAGAGGCAGTCCAGGTATCAGGAGGCTGGTCAGATCCTCCTCAGAATCCCACACAGGATCTCTCTAGTTCTCAAAGCAGTGGCTGCCTCAGCATTAGGAAGTACTTGTGCCAAGCAAAGCCAAGTTGTGGAGCAAAAGCATCAGTACTTAGGATTTGATGTCCACACTTGATACTTCAGTGCATTTTCACTCTCAGACTAGTGCTGCAGGAGAACAATCAAGAGATTTTTGAAGGCACACTGTGGACCCCAACTGAGCAACTTAGATGCACCCTAGTAGATCCCTGCTCAGAAGCATGACTGCTAACACTTAACTGGTGAAGGACCCTGAAGCATGCCTTCTGCCAACCTGTCCACCATTAGCTTCAAAGCAGGCAGCAACACTCGAAGCTCTAACAACATATCTGAGCTACAAGGGCAAAGCTTTGTGCAGAAGCACATCATGGCATACCCTATCATTCTGCCTGGCAATCAGCACTTAGCTTGTGAGTGCACAACAACAGAATTCCACAAAGCAGTATTTTAAAATCCCATGCAACACAAGTTAATTAATGGCATACTTCCCCTTATGAGGCATCTTGTGACAACATTCAAATAAAACTTCATTTCCATATGAAACTGATGAAAATTTCTGGCCAGAAATATGGAATACCTAATCTGGTGATTTCAAACACAATTCTAACTGAATTAGAAAATACTTTGCTAATGAACTCAATAACAACAACACTTTTCAGCTGCCATCTGCACAGAAGTCCCCCTGACAGTTGCAGAAAGCTAACTGAATGGTTTGAGATATTTCTGGTGATTTCAAAAAGCTATAGTCAAATTTCTTAATTACTCTGCCATTAGACTGAAATTAGGTATTCTATCCCTAGACAATAACATCCCTCATTTACTTCAAGCACTGAGAGATTTTACAATGCGTACTCTTTGATGCCTATGTTTTCTAGCAAGGAGTATTCTTATCCAGCTTAAAAAAAAACAGTAGCTCATCTTCTTCCAAGTTCACTTTCAAAAATACAAAGATCAGCACGCACAGAAGTACCACATGTAACAACTCTCCCGTAAAGGTCACTTTACCATTAAGTTACTTGAAAACCATAAAGGTTGGGTCACTCTTCTGATGAATCTGGAATTCAGCTGAGCATTTGGAAGGAAAGAGTCAAAAAAGGTTCAGCAACAAAGCAACTAAATGGGTTAAGATACAACTGACCTGTATCTCAGCAAGCAGGTAATTCCCTCAGAGAATCAAGGGAGCAGCAGGATTATCCCCACACACACCCCAGCTCCAACTTCATATTTCTTTAGAATTCCACTGCATTTCAAGAGACTGACAAAAGGAGCTTGTTTTACTGTCAAAGAGAAGCCCTTGAGAGGTTGGACTTGCAACAAACAGGTAAAAGCCCATATGACAGTAGAGTAAGAGTAAGCCCTGCATGGAGAACACTGACTTCACTCCTGTGCCACTTCCCACAGCAAAGATGACGACTTTGGCAAAAGAAGAAATCTTTTTTTGTACTCTAAATTTTACACTGGTCAGCCTTTCTGGTTAAGATACTTTATATGCAGGAACAGGTACGTGCATACATGCACACACTGCTTCCTGCATCAGAAGGATGCTCTTGGTAAAACGCTCCGTACAATTTCAGACACTGGATCCTCAGATGACTTGATACTTACTAACATCCCCACTGAGGATAAGAATATTCCCAAACTGTTTTGAATGCAAAATTTTAATATTCTGAAAAGGTGAATCTTCATCATAAACAACTTCATCTATGTCGTACTCCACCAGGCGCCCGTCAGCTGTGGGCCAGTATCTATCAATGACACCTCCTCTCAAAATGGCTGGCAATCTAGAAAGAAATATGACAGAAAAAGATTAGAGAACATTTGAGTTTGGTTGGTGTTTTTTTTATATCCCCTTGAAACATCCTGTGGGTTTACCATAATAAATAATAACATTTACGAGAGGGATCTAAGAAAACTTGCAGATTTAACACTCAGCAGATTTAAGAAACCTATCAGTTGTGTTAAATATACATAACTTGCTAAGGTACAGACTAATATAAATGGTTCTTCTTTACATACAACTTCCACAATGGGTACATGAACCTCTACCCTAAAACAGCGACTTACATAGCATACCAACCTCCACAGAAGAATCAGCTCATGACTAGGAATGGATAAAACACAAAAGCAGAATGAAGACAAAAACCATGACAAAACCTCTCCACACCTTCAGTGCAGCTAAGGATGCCATTTCTTGGAGATTAGTGAATCTTACCCTTCTAAAGTTGTACTGAAAGAAGTTTTAAATGCACACACACAAAACATGAACTATTATAGTGTTTTAAACTGAGCCAGGTCACCCTGCAGTGTATAAACACAATCCTTCATATCAGCTGAGAGGTTGCACTGCTTTTTAAAAGTGGTTCAAGCATCTGCATAGATGGTTTTGGTGGGTTTTTTTAGTTGGTTGTTTTTTGTTGCCTTTTTTTTAACCCCATATAGCAGTATCTTGGTTCAAATCATTATTTCACCTGTAAAAAACAAACTGTATTTGAAATGGTAGTGAATGATCACAGCAATTGCATTCCATTTTAAGCAAGATGCACAGGCACAGAGTTAATCAGATTTCCCACACACACTTCAGAATTAAGGGTTTTTTTCCAGAGGATGGAGTGGCAGAAGATCAGATGCAGACAAGCTGCTTCTAAATTCACCGGTGATTCTTGCTAAACATTCCAGGGCACTCTGTCCACCAAGTGAGCCGCAAGACAGTGGCACACAAGGAGCATGGGAACAGCTGTTCACTGCATCAAGGCCACAGAACAACAGGGACAACTTTTCCAGCGGAGCTGCATGCGACACTAGCACCAGAAGGATGCAAAAAACAATTTACAAAAAAAACCAAACCCAAACACAAACAAGATAAGGGGTCTGTGACAAGATGCATGCTAGATCCACTGTCCCAAAAGGTGCATCTTCCTATAATAAAGGAACCAAATTAACCTAGATCACTTCAGGCAGACTTTTTCCTGACCTCTTTTTAACAAGTTCCTATATAGGGATTCCAAAAACACCCAGTATCATGTTTCAGTATTAAAATGCCCTCAGAGAGCTTCTCCCCCATAGAAACGTACACAAGATTATCCACATACGTGCATTGTGCATCAGGTGATGCTTTGCCAGGACAAAGTAAAGCAAACTCCCTCCGTGTTCTACATACAATTGTATACACAAACATTCAAGGTATAACATCACTTTTCCAATCACTACCACTTTACTTGTGCATCCCATTTAGCCTTTGGATTACTTTTTGCTACAGTACTGCTAAGCTGTCCTCCCACTTTGTAGTTTGCTCCTTAGCTTTACTCAATCTTACTGATTTTACACTTGCTTTTTACTTTTCTTAAAGTATTTCCACTTTTGAGCATGTCCCTTAAAGCACCCACTGCATCTTCTAGCAACTCCATGCCTGCAGTAAGTGCTCCCTGGCTACAAGGTGCCAATCAGCTGCCAGGAAGACACCAGCATGAGCTAGGCCCTTCCAGACCTCCGGGGAACTCCAGTGTGAAGGCTGTTTCAGCAGCAGGCAACAACCCACAGTTAGCACCCCTACGGTTTAATATATAACTTTGTATTTAAGTAAAACAAAGTGTCAGAAGGCTTGCAAAGCCTCCTTCCTTCAGTTATCTGTTGCATTAAAAATACTTGCTACAAAACATTTTATCTTCTTTTGTAGGGCCCTAAGCACACAGGCTCCCAACAGTTTTTGCCACCCGTGCCCAAGGCCAGCGCTACAAGGTGCGGCAGGGGCAGATCTGAGAGAGAAAAGAGCTGCAGTGACCCTTGTCAAGGCAGGGTCTCCTCCATGGGCCTGAGCTCCATTTCTGCTCCAACCCTGGTCCCTGCCCAAGCTACACTGCAGCTCTACCCATGCTTGAGCAAGTCTTTTGCCAATCCTTAACACCCAGCTTGGTCTCCATGCAGTACTGGGGCAGCTGTCACAGGGCTGGCACTGACCCTGGTCACCATCACCAGCCTTGGTTGCCTTGTCCACAAGTTGTGGGACATGACCCAAGGGTACAGTTCATGCCCTGGCCTATCCAGCTAAACCCCTTGGCTCCCCAGCCCTTCCAGATCAGTCTGTTCTTGCTTCCTGGTTGTGTTTTCTCCCACCATTTCTTTATTTTGCTGCAATGGTTTCATGAAACAAACTAACAATACTGAAGATAAAGCTTAACGAAATAACAAACTTCACAGTATCATCAATTGTGCAATAGAACAATTTTAAAACATTGGAGGAACACACACACGCATAAATTCACATTTCAGGCTATTAATCGCAGTATAGCAAAGCATAAGACTATGCAGACAAGCCACATACAGAAGTAGATGTAAACTTACCGTTTCACCCTTTTTATATTATCATGAAACAATTCTTTCATCCTTTCTTCTACTTTGTTTAGAAGCTGAAAAAAATAGCATATAAAAGAAGTGGAATTTGTAGGTGATCACTAATTTAAGTGTGTTAAATTAGGCTACTTGGAAGGCAATGAAGAGTAGTACGTGCACTGAGAGGCTTTGAAATGTAACTTTAGAAGCCTATGAATAACTAGCTGGTCACCTTAGCCTCCCTACTAGCAAGAATGTGCATATTGTAGCAGTTATCACTGGTTAGCTGTCCTCCAGGATAACATAGCCAGACCTTTTAGGCACAAGCAAGGCAGGAACACTAGAACCCTGTAAGGTTTCATTCTCAAAGCACTGGCCTACTCCCCTGCAGTATCCAATTTCTGGAGCTTTCCTATCGGAGACACTGAAATTATTTTTTACCCTGAGGAAGAATTTTGAGTATAGAGGCTCAGATTAGAGAAGGGAGGAAAAAAAAGACATATGCTAATACACTGGGTTGCAGGTTGAGCATCCCCTCTCCCTCACTGTCCTGAAGTGACCGGAGCCCTAACCAAGGTTGCTACATCTTTACAATTCTACAAAGAACATGACTCCCAGGACAGGCAAACGTATGCACTCATGTGAGTATGCAACTACAACAGGTCTTACTACTCCTCACCTGTAAGCATTCAGGTTTGAACCAACCTTGACATTTAAACAACTTTTCTTCAAGCTTATCAAAGTATATCTTGGTAAAAGAAGGGGCTCACCATGAAGTTTGATATGTCTAGTAAGATAAGCACCACTCATACCTACCTGATCAACTTCCTCTCTTCCTTTCGTATGATCACTGTAGCTCTGCAGATCCACCAGCACTAATCCATGAGGGTGAATCCTCAAATTGGCAAAACTACAAAATAAAGAGAGACAGCCACGACTCATTATCAAAAATCAAAGTGAGTAAGGAAAGAAAGTCTGAAACAGGTTATAACAAACTCGGAATGCACATTTCTTTTTCCAGTTGTCTGTAACTGTTGGTAGTGCCAGCTCTGGTCTTTCTCTGTAAGTCACTAAGCAGCAAAGTTGCAAGAGCATGCCAGTCACTACATAACTAAAAACTAGCAGGCAGCAAGGCAGAGAAACAGGGTGTTTAACCAGAAAAACTACGGTACAAGGGGGAAATATACTGTCTACTAGTCTCGGCTTTTTAAATACGGCCTCCTTGACAGATGTGTTGTGTTGGTTTTGTTTAATTGAAATCAAGCTTCATCAAAACTAGACACTCTCCTTCCCCTACATCTTCCTTCTCACTTCTTGGGGTTTTGTGGTGGTTGTTGTTTGGTGTGAGAGGGGTTTTTTTTGGCTTTTGTTTGTTTTTTAAACTTCATAGTAACTCTTCACAAAGACAGTGTTCACATTCAAAGCTGAATAGAGATTTATAAACGAGAAACAGTAAGTGTCCTGGAGCAACCATGGCCTCGCTTGGCAAAGAAATTACAGCAGCAAACGTTTGTTGATGAGGACAGATGCAAGATAGACAAAACTCCTACTGTATGTTGTGTTTATTACAGAAGCATTTAAAGAGCAAAGAACAAGCTTTCACCGTGCTGGGTAGACAAATAGAGGACCTTCAAGAGCTTGCAACAAACAAAAGATAAGGACTATGGGGAAAGAAGAAAACAGTAGCAAAGGCAATATCCTTTCTATACAAGGGAGGGTAAAAAACAGAGAAACAGGAAAGCTACAACGGGATTATGGAAAGGGAGGGGAGGTATACACTTAAAGAAGAGGCAGAGGAGGGGATGGGAACAGCAACAGCCAAGCAAAGAAAGAAGGGTATTCAAGGATGAAAGCTCATTAGCACAACACAAAGAAAACCCAGGTAAAGATGTACCCCTTTCTTTGCTTGTCTGCTCTTCCCCTGCTCAGCCTCAAAGACAAAACCCAAACCAACTCTTGTCAAGACAAAAAATTCATGTGACTTCCCCACCATTCCCACCTTTTTGTCCCTTCCAGAGCTCCCTTCCTAAACTGTCAGACTCAATGTGAACACCCCTCTCCCGTGGCTGTGGGAACTTTGGCCAGCAAACACCCTTAGCTGTAGTCAGGGAGAAAGTCCTGAATATTCTTGAAGTGTTACCTGAAGACTACAGTTACCAAAGAATATAAAATGATCAAATGATGAAACTGACTGAAGTGACTCAAAGATAAACACTCTTGCCAGCTTTGGACAGCAGCGATCTATAGCTCTGATGTGTTTCCAGTTGTGAAAGCCAAGTCACCCACTTCTCTTCACAGATGAGCCTGGGTAAGTCTCAGGCTTGTCCCAGGCCTTTTTATGCACAGGTCTTGCCTTCAGGAAGGCCGTTTCTGTACAATACACACAAGCTCACTGTGTTTCCCCTGCCAAGTCCCTGCAGATTGTCACTGCCTTTCAGTGACCCTCCCCACATCTCAGAGATTGACAGTAAGGCATCCTCCCAGCAAGTGTTCTGGAATTGGGACTAGAAAGCAGCTGGACTCCCAATGGCCATTAAACAAAACCACAGCGTAGCCTTAAAATCAGTATTCCCTCTGCACCAGGAGGTTACTCCTGCATAAAATAGCACACATTCTGTTCGTGCTTTCATCAGGGTGATATAGAACAGTCAAGCTGCAAACTAAGATGCTTTTTTCTTTTTTTTTTTCCTCTTCCACTCCCCATTTTTAACTACCAGATAGATTCCTACCACTTAAGAGGCCATGTTTATAAGCTAATTAAAAGAATAAGTGTCTTCAGTATTCAAGACGCTTCTAAAGGCAACTTTTTGTTTCTCTCATACAAGCTTTATAAGGAAGTATTTAGGGAGAACCAGCAAATTCATTCTACTGTACCCCTGCCAAAACCAAAGCCAAGCAGAGGAAGCTACTCTGAACTTGGGAAGGTAAGCACTGCACCCACATGTTTTCAGATGCTGTGCCCCACTCACTGGTGACTGACACAGTTCAATACTTTGGATATGTAGGCCACTTCATGCTTTACACAGTGACCAGCTTAAGTTGACATTCCCATCAGTACACCTAAGACAAGTAGGACCATTAAACAGGAAGGACACCCCCACCACCCCACAGGTCTCTATGGGGCTTTGGAGGGGTTTTTTGGGGTTTTTTTTTTGTTTGGTTCTTTTTTTTTAAACACTTCTCCCTGTGACCTGACAGCACCTTGAACTAAAGGGATTCAAATTATTTGTGTGCTTCTCCTAGAGTCTCTTGGTACTCAGCAAGGGGGAACAGGTACTGCAAAGCTCTCTACAGTTCTGGAGAAAGCCCTACCAGGATTGTATTTATGTGATTTTCACTTCTGTGAGGGTTTATTTTGTAACATGCCTTACACGTGAGGAAAAAATAATGATGCATAAGCATGAAAACAAACAGTTTTATCACAAGACTCCAGGAAACAATCTCTTATTTTTTTTAAAGGAGAAAAGGACAAAAGAGCAAGCTTGCTAGATGGAAGTGCTGGTCACACCAGTAGGTTTTGGACACAACCACTAGCAATGTAAAGGGACATTTCTGGGCAAGTCAATAGACCTGCTCCAGGCCCTCAGAGCTGCAGCACTACAGACAGAAATGAGTATCTGCAGCTCAGACAGCACTGTTAAAGGTCTCCGAAATCTGGCACAGTGACAGAAATATTTGCGCTGTTAGGAAAACTTTTTAGCAGTTTACTCCCACTGTCCAAGTGTTGGTATTGACACAAATAAGCAGAGACTGATTGTCCCATGACTTGAGTTCTCATTGAAATTCCTTTCCTACAAGAACCACATAGCTGTCATAAGATTTGACAGCTGATATTGTCTTCACTTCCTCTGTGGCCACATGAAATGCTTTCTCAGTATGGGTTGTTACTGCTTTTGCTTTGGGGTCTTCTTAGGTGGGAGGCAAGGAGAGTCAGAGCAGGGTTGCTCTGAAAAGCACAGCCACACAACTTCACACTTATGATAAGTGATATGATAGCATTAGAATA